CACAAGATAAGTCTCTATGAGACATTATTGTGGACCATAAAATGTTATATGTTTTTATAGCTTATGAACCTAGTATGATAAGTTGCTAATGCAGTAGTATATGGAAGGAAGTATGTAGCTTAAAATTTATGTACAACCGTCATAACTCGCATTAGTAGTTTGTTATATTGTGGTATTTATGATGGACATTATAGAAGAGATTTATTAGACATGCAACTAATGTTTATTAAATATTAATGTTATATGGTCATTGGGCCAAGTGGGAGAATGTAAGAATTATTATTTATTTACTATTAATTATTTCTTACTTATGGCCCAAGTTTACTTGGAATCAAAGTAATACCATAAATAATATTTAATAAGGAATAGATCTCGTCCGTACATTGGTTATTTGATGGACGTACCAGATTAAGTCATAACCTCTATAAATTGGTCATCCCTCCACCCATTAGGGTTACCACATATTCTACACATTAATTCCATCGCTGACGGTTGTGGTAACATAAAGTTAGGGCAAGGAGGTAGAAACCAATTTACGACTAACGCTTCCGCTTCTCCTTGTGATGATGTCTTCCGCATCAGGTATGTGCCTCTAACATTCTCTACGTAAGATTATCATGTTAAAGATCCTAAAAGTATTTAATCTTACAGATAACTGTAATGAAAAATCTACCTTTTAATTAGTTCTTGAACATAATTTCTAGTATCATGATTTAAAACATAATAAGCCATGAGAATAAATTTTAAAAATTCTGGGTAAAAAACTAAGAATATGAGAATTCATGATTAGCTAAACATTTATAAACTTTCATAGATAATGCCTGCTTGCTCGATTTAATCGAAACACTCATTAATTGTTCCAATACATTTCTACAAATACCTTAGAGGCATGTTAATTGTGAGAAAAGAACTTTAGTAAAGACGTATCGAAACTCACCTCAATATATATCTTCTCCCAAGAAAACATATGCTTCAACAATCGTTTAAATACTTGAAATCTACATCGACTTTAATCACATGACATCAACAACAACAGTTGTTTTCGAGATACACTTAATGAGTTTGATTAAGATCTATAACAAAGTTTTTATATCATTAAGATGTATAATAAATATGACAGTTTACCGCTACTCTATTTACTTTCACCCACCATCATAACCATCATTTTAGTTATAACTACCACCACCGTCAATTACTATCACCTACCATCCACGACTATCATCCTCAGCCCAACTACAACCACCACTAGTGTCAATCGCCAAAATTAATCGCCATCATCATTTACCATCGTCATTAGGTATCAATATCATTCCACTACTAATTATCAATTGTCACCACCAACTGCGGTTAGTCAATATGTCAATCACTACACAACAAGATACTGCTCTAACCACCATCATTGGTAACACACGATCACTATCGTTAGTTATCACCATCACCAATTGTAATGAAAATTTTAAATTTTTTATTAATCTAATATTACAATATATTAATTTAGTATTTTATATTTATTATTTTTAAACAAAGACGACTATTACACATTCAGATATTGAAAAAAAGTTATAATCAGTCTTAATTATTTAGTATTCAAATTTTAATGCAACAACTTAATATTCATATGTGTATTTAGATGCAGACCTCTAAATTTTAATACACATCTTAATCTTTCTTGAAATTCACTTATTTTTAATGAAAACAAATGAGGTCTTATGTTCAATTTTGCATACTAAATTAAGGACATACTTGGACGAGGTACGGAAGGTAAGAATATATATGAGCCAAACTATTAAAAGACATATTTTGCTCAATTTCAAATATCGTAAAGACATATATAAATCTTTTTTGTAAAATAATTTGTGTTACACGTAGTTAGGTCTGTACCAAACTAATCTATATGACATTATTTCAATTGTGACAACTTTGAAAGAAAGAAGTTTTTGTAGTCAACCTAATGATATTTGATAGATAACGAACACAACGAACATAAGCCAATCTAATGCTATCGTGTTTCTTGTTTAGTCCATTTAAATTAATTCCCCTTTTTCTTATTTAGTTAAAACCCACTCCTTCAAACACAAATTTAGAAATGTTTTGGCTTGTGTCATTAAATAACATTAATTAAAACAATGTGGTATTAGGTTCGTGTTTCGGTATTCTTACCCTTTTGTATATATTAATTTTTAATATTGAGTAAAATCGATAATCAGTTAATATTTTCTTAGACTCCAAACAAGAAAACTATCGAAATATCATAATTTTGGTGTTAAATGTGTCATCACATTATCCATCATTTAGAAAGACGTTTTTCCTCAAACGTGCCTAATATCTTCTATACAAGTCGGAATTCAATAAGATCAGTTCCTCTACGTCACAAATGACGAGATGGAACTAATGGTGTAACCAAAATAAAAAATTCATCCACATTTAAGCAAAATAATGCGTTGAAACGTCACATATAAACTCACCCACCCACTCACCCCCTCCTCAACATATAAACGTCACATTTGATTTGTTCGTTATCCCCTTGCCTATAAATACCACGTTAACTAAATGAACTTTGCAATATTCTCAAAAAAATAAAAATAAAAAGTTAGGAACATTGAGAGAAAAAAATGGATCAAAAAATCACAGGAAAAAATGTTAAGTTTGTGACACTTTCCTCCAACCAATTGGACTCTCTTACTTTTATTTGTGACACTTTTTTACCTTCAATTCATGATGCTAATTCCTATGATCATCATCATCAAGAAGACAATAATATTGATGATGATTCTTTCATTAACTTCCTCCAAACTTCAGCATCCATGAATGGAACTCCTCAACATGTAAGTATATATATATAAGGTCTTCTTCTTCTTCTTTTTAATACGTACGTGATTAACCCCTTAAATGAAAATTCTATCTCCAGAACTGACTAAGAGTATTAATCATCCCATCCTCGATTTTAAGTCATTATTTATTTTTCAGATGGCATGGATGATAAGTAATAGATTGCAACATCCAAGGCTGAACTTGTGCAAATTATCACTATGGCTATTATCAACAAGGATTGGAACATTTACACTTTGTGGTAAAGCAAGCTTGTCAACCCAATTTCCATATTTACAGAAATTTTCTAACATTTCACCAAAGAAAAGAGAAGAAATTGTTAAATCATGGGCAACAAGTTGTTTCAAACTCCTAAGGATTCTCTATTTTGCCATGAAAGTACTAGTTCTCCTAGTATTCTTCACTCAGGTACTATATTTAATTAATATAAAAGTTATTAGTTGATTAAATTCTATATCATTCATCTTAAAATAAAACAATGTATCTCTCATGATGTAGTCTTTTATTTTGGAGCAATGCATAAATATGTCATTTAACTAATTGGCCTCATTTCACATTTATGCACTCCAACTCTGGGTGTGAACAAATAGACACTTAACGAGATGTTGTTTTGAGATATCAGATTCATCTGAATTCAATACTTTTAACGTGATTTAAACCATATGGTCTACCAGCTTAGTTGAGAAATAAAAGAATATATAGCATGATATGTGATAGATAACGAATAAAATGAACATAAACTCATTTAATTAGCACAATTTAGAAATGTTTGGCTTGTGTCATTAAAGAACATTAATTAAAACAGTATGTAGTATTAGGTTCTTGTTCCTTTCTAATCAGATGCAATTAGATACTTTTGATAGGCACTTTAGTTTTCTTTTCTTTTTGTACATCTTAACTTTTTAAGTTTTACTTTTGGGACCAAGGGGTAAATTTGCTTCATAATAACTATAGCATGTCTAATTATTATCCATAGCAATAGTTTTGGAAAGGAGAGAGGCCTGGAGATCGAGAGAAGAGAGGCGAGTGAGAGTTTGGAGAGAGAGGATCAGAGATGTTAGATACATGTTGTTTATCAGATACAAGTTGTACCTCTCTCCCAACCTCACATAGATATACATATATTAGATACACATATGCAAAACTCGGTGAGCAGCGAGAGGGAATGAGAGAAAAGAGAGGTGAAACAGAGAGAGGAAAGACGCGAGCAAGAGAGGGAAAAAAAGGAGAGATTTACTGTAAAACTCTAAGTATAGCGATGTTAATAATATATTAAAACTCTAAGTATAGCTATGTTAGGTAATATATTAAAACTCTAAGTATAGCTATGTTAGGTAATATATTAAAACTATAGTTATGTACAGTAGATATAGTAACTATGTTTGCTAAAGTAGGTAAATTTTTCTTGTTTCTTTGCATTGTGCTGTTCATGTGCGACTTTGTTCATATACTATATCCAATATAGGATGCAACTACAAAGATATTGTCTGAACTATGTTGTAAATAAAACCTTGTTATAAAATTAAGCTCAGAAGAAGAAGAATATATGATAAAAGAAACAACATAAGATAACTTTCTTCTTTCAAGTGTGTCTACAATATGAGTTTCATTCTCTATGTGTTGTATTGCATAGAGGTAAACACAGAGAATGTCATAAACATGATATTAAGGGGGAAGATGGTGGAGTGGACATCCATGTAAATAATATATTCCATAATTCCTTCTTATTTCTTTCTCGAAAGTGAAAATCTTATTCGTTTTAGGTGAATGAGGAAAGTCAGAATCCACCATGGAAAGCACTTGGCTACATTGGACCTGATCCAGATTTCAAGAAGCAAAAACAAGAAAACATGAACTATAAGAAAAAGGATGATCAATCATTTGGACCACTTTACGAAGGAATCATCAGTCTGAAAAATTCACAGAAAATAACATTTGAGAGGCTGAAAAAACTAGGATTTTCTGTATCTAAACCGCATAATTTCAAGAACGCGAGGAGAAGCACAGAGTGCCCTGCTTTCACTATAGAAAGTGATGTTGTGGTGGTTGGTTCAGGTTCTGGTGGTGGAGTTATAGCTGGTATCCTTGCAAATGCTGGACACAAAGTGCTTGTCCTAGAAAAAGGAAGTTATCTTGCAAGAAGTAATCTTTCACTTCTTGAAGGAACTTCAATGGATCAAATGTACCTTGGAAGTGGAGTAGTAGCAACCAAGGACATGGATATTATACTACTTGCTGGATCAACTGTTGGTGGTGGCTCGACGATAAATTGGTCAGCTTCGATTCAAACTCCACAACATGTACTAAAAGAATGGTCCGAAAGTTACAATCTTAAACTGTTTGAAAGTGAACTCTACAAGGAGGCTATGAAGATTGTGTGTGAAAAAATGGGAGTTCAGTCTGAAATTGAAGATGAAGGGTTCCAAAACATGATTTTGAGAAAAGGGTGTCAAGAATTAGGATATCCAGTGGAAACAATCCCTACAAACGCACCCTCGGATCATTATTGTGGATGGTGCAGCATGGGTTGCAAAGATGGGAAGAAAAAAGGCACAGCTGAGACATGGTTAGTCGATTTGGTGAAATCAGGTAATGGTGCAATACTTCCTGAGTGTGAAGCATTGGAAGTGATCCATGAAGAAAAGAATGACAATTCAGGAAAACATAAAGCCATTGGAGTTACTTTTGCATTTCAAAATATTGAAGGGATGAGAGAAATTTGTATGGTGAAATCAAAAGTCACAATAGTAGCTTGTGGTGCTCTTAGCACTCCTTCATTGCTCAAGAGGAGTGGCTTAAAGAATCCAAATATTGGCAGAAACTTACACCTCCATCCAGTCGTCATCGCTTGGGGATACTTTCCAGATTCACCATCAACATCTAATGAAATATGGCCAAAAGCAGAGAAGAAAAGTTATGAAGGAGGGATAATGACAGCCATGTCTAAAGTCGTGGCGAATTTCGAAGGATCAGGATATGGTGCAGTCATACAGACACCAGGATTGCACCCTGGAATGTTTTCAGCACTAATGCCATGGGTTTCAGGCATAGATATCAAGATGAGGATGAGCAAATATTCAAGAACAGCGTGTATCTTCGCATTGGCAAGGGACAAGGGATCAGGGGAAGCACTTTCACCATATTCAATATCTTACAAGTTGGATCAAATTGATGAAGAAAATCTAAAAGTAGGCCTAGAGAAGACACTAAGAATCTTGGCAGCTGCTGGTGCAGAAGAGATTGGAACTCAACAAGAAAAAGGGAGGAGTTTGAAGGTGAAAGATGCAAGTTTGGAGGAGTTTGAGAGGTTTGTGAAAGAAGAAAGTTCAATAGGAATTGGAAAACATTCAGTTCCTATATGTTCAGCACATCAAATGGGAAGTTGTAGAATGGGAACTGATCCAACAAATTCAGTGGTTAATTCCAAAGGAGAAACATGGGAAGTAGAAGGTTTATTTCTTGGTGATTCAAGTGTTTGTCCAACAGCTATTGGAGTGAATCCAATGGTCACAATTCAGGCCATTTCTTACTGCACTGCACAATCTGTGCTCCAACTTCTAAAGAATCAAAAGTTGGAGTAAAACAACACTATTACAAAGGGAACCATGAAGAATTGTTTGTTGAAGTTTGTGTAGTATCTCTCCCTTCAACTTATGAGTTGAAGGCTAAAGTTGTTGGGATATATACTATAATCAAGAATTTAGATATAGCATTAATGGTAATATTTAAAAGTCTAAGCGGAAGAACATTTGTAATATGTACTATTAACCATGAGTTTAGATATAATACTTATTATAAAAAAGTTGATTATTTAATTTTAATAAAGTTTTAAATAGATCATATATTAGTTGATTCATCCTTTACTTGTATAACTCAGCTTATACACCAAAGATTAGATCAATCATCAAGTCAAGGTCACTTATGTTTCGCTTTTTGAGTCAAAGTGTGGTCCCAATCAGGGTTGGGATCGGGTCAAAGTCAGGACTTGGATCCCGTAGTAGGGTTGTGTCGGGGTTGTATCTGTATCCTAAGTCGAAGCTCAGGAGTCAGGGTCATCTGGGCTGGGGTCCAAGTTTTGGTTGGGTCAGGGATCGAGTTTCGGTAATAAGAAGTTTGACAAATTTTATAATTGTTGGAAGTTACATGTGTTGCTCTTTAGCATAATGAAAATGACTTTGAGCTTACATGTGCGGCCAATACTCTTCCACTTAATGAAAATCAGTAGAAAAAAAGACAAAAAAGTAAAGTCCAATATTACACTACTCCTATCTTGTATAAAAGATATTTATGTAAATTAACTTTATTCATGCACAATTTCTCTATGTATTTTTGTTCTTCCACCATGAAACCTTGTCCTAGAGGTTTATCTACAAATCCTAAAGCTCCAATCTTGATTTCAAAGAACTCAAAATCAGCTTCATTTGTGAAATGGGCACCTCTATTTAAGTTTTCTGGTTTTGAAGTTCCTGTTACTTTATCTACTGCTCGTTGTAGTCATTCTACAGTTCATGTTCCATCAGCACCAGTTATTCAATCGGATACTGATACAAGTATGCTTCATATTCCTGAAGAAAAATTTGAAGGGGTAGAGAAAAACCTAGAAAAGGTGACTTTTTTGCCTTTTGATTTGAATTTTTTTTTTTCACTTTTTGTGATTTTCTTGAAATTTTGGGTTGATTTCTTGCAGGTGATTTATAGCTGTCGGTTTTTCACGATTCTTGCAGTGTGGGGTTCCTTGATTGGATCTTTTCTTTGTTTTATAAAGGTAAATTTAGTCTTTAACCCTTTTGTATTTTGATCATTTTTTTACTTGATTATGCATTGCTATTGAGTTTCATTTCTTGTTGTTAAGTTAAAAGGATGATCAGCATCCCGGTGCACTAAGCTCTCGTGCATCCAGGGAAGGGTTGGACCATAAGGGTCTAATTGTACACAGCTTTATCCTGCATTTATGTCGGAGGTGTTACCACAATTCGAACCCATGACCTCCTGGTCATATAACAATAACTTCACTAGTAATGCCAAGGCTCCCTTTCAAGTTGTTAAGTTTTACAACAACTCGACCTATGACCTCGTGGTAGTATCTTTACCAGTAACGCCAAGGCCCCCCTTCCAGTCGTTAAGTTTAAAAGAACGGATAATTTAGCTAGAGATTATTCCTTTATTTGGATTGTTGGAGTGAATTAGATTGAATTTGTGGTGTTGTCTATCCCTTTTCTTTTACATGTTTTTTGAACTTTGTAGTATAGTCATCTACTCTTTTTGGAAGATCTTGACTTATTTGATGAGTTTTACAACTAGTTTTATTTTAGAAAGTATTGTAATCTGAGAGTATTCCTGTGCTTGATGAAATGCTTATTTTCTGTGTTGATAAGTTTTATCTTTTGTTGCCTAAATTCACTCCTTTTTATGGATTATTATTGTTTCAAGCAAATAACAGTATAATTACCCACTAGATATGGAGAGTTACAAATGATAGGTAGCAACAACGAATCAAGAATTAACTATGTCAAGGAAAACAAAAGAATCACTGCGCTAAGACGACATGAACTTTATCTGATGTATGAGACATGAATACATCTCCCTGCTACTACTGTTTCGAATTTTGTGTCTGCCACTGCAAGCCTGTACTGATAAAAAGAAGAGAATATGTAATTCAGTGGTTGTAAAGTACATTATTTCTGGATTAATGTCAAAATCCTCTAAGCTTTGATATTTGTCTATGATAAAATATAACCTTCTAATGGTATATTAATGTCCAGAACATACTAGTAAATGATTAAACTAACTTGTTTCTCCATTAACAGGGTTGCTCATGTGTGATTGCATCATTCCAAGGGTACTTTGCAAGCCGAGCTAACGTTATTGTGCATCTTGTCGAAGCTATAGGTGTGTCATTAATTACTACTTGTGTTCCTTTTCGTAAATGTAGTCTATCTATCCTCCTTTCTATCTGATGATTTGCTATGCAGAGTAGCTCCCGATGCACGTTATAGTTTTATACTGTCATCCTCCTTGGATATTCATCCTTTGCTCTAATATGTTCTATGATTTCTACCATAGCACAATCTCTTAGTTTCAATTTCACTAGTTTAAGAAGTTCTTGACGATGTATTATATTTCTTCTAGATATATACCTGTTAGGAACAGTGATGTTAGTCTTCGGTATGGGTCTCTATGAGCTCTTCATCAGCAATCTCGACAAAGGAAAATCAATGTCAGGGGAGATAACTCCATATAGATCAAATCTCTTTGGCATGTTCACTCTAAAGGTTAGTCTCAGTAATTTGAAAATGTTTTTATGAGCTATACTTGTGTCAATACTAAGTTGCACCTGCACAACTCTATATTCTGGTTTTATATGTTGTAGTCTCTTCCATCCAATAGTACTCTAAGGACCCCTGAAAATTTCTTGCTCCGTGCTGATGCAATTCATAGGGTTACCTACTTTTCAATGAATCACATGCTATGTTGCTCAGACTCTTCAAAAATTTAGATTTGTGTCTGATCTTTCAAAAGTAATGCATTTTTAGAGTATCCGACATGGCTGCAACAACATTTTGGAGAGTCTGAGCAACATAGATCTCATGTACTTATCGGTACTTGTTGTTTTTATGATCACCAATGTCTAGCTCCTCCGAGTTGAAAAAGGAAAGTTTTTGAAGAGATGAACTCAAGTAGTACTCATAACTCATAAATGATTAGTTCATATGCTAAGGAGAAAAGGCAGAGGATTAGTTCATGTTGGTTCCTTCTTGCTTGAATGATTCTCTCCACACAATGTGATTCTTGCTTTCTACATGTCACTAAATTGCCAGGAACGACCAAGATGGTTGGAAATAACTACTGTGAGCGGGCTGAAAACCAAAATCGGACATGTTATCGTGATGCTTCTTCTCATCGGTTTGTTTGACAAGAGCAAGAGGGCTGTTATACATTCACCATTTGATCTACTTTGCTTTGCAGCTTCTGTGCTTCTTTGCTCTTGCTGCCTCTATCTCCTTTCAAGACTCACTGATGAGAACTAAGCATTTTATAGATAGTTTGCAGTCTACAATTCCTAATGAAATGCTGTGGTATGTTTTACATGTTCTTGCACATGTATATATTTCTATGTAAAAAGGGGCAGCCCCGTGCTCTCCTGCTATGCACAGAGTCTGGAGAAGGATCGGACAACAAGGGTATATTGTTCCTTCCTATGTATATTACACAAATGCAATGTATAATATAAACTCTTTTGAGTGAAACTTGGAGCGCTCTTTTATTTTCCTTGTGATATAATTTATTGCGAGATTTATAACATTCAGCTTTTCTATTCAAGAAGAAAAAATGAATTTGATTTAAGTCAACAAAAAGTGTTGAAATGCCATAATTAGATTCTACTACGGATGTCTCTTAAAAGATATAAGTCTTAATTGAGGTATTTAAGATGAAATTTCATGTCAACTTTAGACAATAAGACTAAGACAATATCTCGTGCGAACAACAACCTTTACTATAAATAGTTATTTGCTGTTTGTTGTGTCTCACGTCAGAGTGGAGCTACCATTCTATTTATTAGTTTGCAAAAATTAATAGTTTTAGCCTATGTTCTGTGTTGTCTTAAAAATTCACTTTATATGTATAATCTATACAAAATCAGGACGGTTCAATAGAAAATATAACCTAAAGTCGAAATATATTATCTTTTATTTGAAAGATAGTTGATAATTATAGTTGATTTTGTAAATATTCACAAACAACATATTTAAATGTACGATTCAATCAACTTAAGATTTAATATGCTTCGCAAAAGTTTCAAACTAAGTATTAATTCTAAACCCCTCATTCTTGAAAGAACAATTATTTTTTATTAAAAAAATCATACAATCCTTATATATTTGAAAAGAGGCGAAGTATTGTTGGTATCATATTAGCTTTGTTGTCTAAAAATCTCATTTAATTATCAAAATATTTGTAAATTATAGTACTCTTTCCTTTTTTTCAAAAATAGGTGTGGAAAATCAAATCATTATCAATAGGTGAGAGTTCACGTAGCCAATCGACTTAGCTACTAAGATTCACCGTCAATTATTGTACTCACTCCACTTAAGTCTATTTTTTTTTAAATGGGTTCAAAATAGTTGTGACAAACTAATTGTAAGCATCCAAATCTAGGGGCCACCATAAATTGGTATTTGTGGAAATTTTACTATCTAAAATACCAAATTCCACAATTTTTTAATTATTATTTTTTAGTTTCTTTCTTATTTTGTCTTTTTGCTTTCCAGATCATTTTGCAAAATTGCATCATTCGGTGGCAAATACAGCTCAACAGCTCAAATATGCATTTAATTATTTTCTGTCTTTGTGCAATTTATCTAATTCCTCAATCTGACCTGTAATTGAGTAACTTAATAGAAATTTTTCCTTTTTTCTTATTTGTAGAAGAGAATTTAAACTTCTTAGTCATAATTTTTCAAGTTGTGTGATCATTTTTCATTTTTAGATTAAGGTATTAAAAATAATATATTTTTCTTTAATTACTTATTATCTTCACATATTTTTCCTGAGTGACTTTGACTCTTTTCCATGAACAAGCATATATATATAATGAATGATATAAGATTCAAACTTAATATTTTTATCTACTCTAATATCATATTAGAACATACTTTTATTTGTTTAATTTTTTATTTTATTTTATTTTTTTTTAAACCCTCCCAGGAGCTCCCACCCCTTTTGCTCTCTTGATGACTCGAACTCGCAACCTTCGAATTAAAAGTGAGGAGTGCTTACCATCCGAGCAACTCCCTCTCGTCATTTGTTTAATTATCATCTTCGTTGAAAGAGAATATAAATACATCATAAGAGTACAAAATTTTAATCATCTTAGTATAATACCTAATATTGCCTATGTTTGTTTTAGTAAAATATAAATTTCTTTATTATTAATATTGAAGAAAGGTGACTGAAAAATGAATTCCTTAATTTCAAAAAAGTACCTTATTTATACTCCTTCCTTCCTTTTTTTCAAAATTGTCATAATTTCTTTCTTTATAAAAATTAAACTTTATGAATTTTAATCAGCATTTTAACTTTAAAAATTAATGAAATAATTCTTGAAAAATGAAACGCTACGAGTATTTTATAGGGGAGAAAATATAATAAGATATATTACAACTATACAATAATATAATCCCATCAATTATAGAAAATGTGTGATTAACCTCAAATTTTCCCCATCCCCACATAAACCTCTTCAAAACCAAAACAAATAAACATTTCCTCACTTCCAACCATAAAAGACACTCCCCCCCAACCCCCAATATGTCTCTCTCCTTCAACAACTTGAAAATCCACTAAAACAGTTAAAGAGTTGACTAGTTGAATAATTACAAATCAAGAATTGATGCCTATCAAATATTTCTACCACCAAACTATATATCCTTTGAGTAATCTTCAAGTTTTCTTTGTGAAACCTCTGTTTTTTCTCTCTTTATTCTTCTTTTCTCATTGAAAAAATACAACCCCATAAAAAGAAAAAAAAAGTGTTATGGAAAATCATCAATTCATTTACCCAATTTTTATCTCTTTTATCACTGCCCTTGCCCTTGTTTCCATCTCTCTATGCATAGCTGCTGAATTCAAGAAAACAAAGGTAATTTTTTTTTACTTTTTAGTAAAGTTTGCGTACATTCTATCCTCCCAGACTCTGTTTTCTAGAATTACACTGGATATGTTGTTATTGTTGTTTCTTTTTCTTTTCAATTGGATTTTTTTTTTGTTTGTTTAATTTTGTTTGATTGTTTTTTTTTTTTATATTTGTAGAAGGAAGATCTGAGGTTTGATGGGAAATTGTGTTACTTGCCAAAAAGTGTAGCTTTTGAATTGGGTATTGGAGCTTTAATTTGTTTAATTATGGGTCAAGTGATTGGAAATTTGTTGATTTGTATAAATGTCTTCTCAAGGGATCATCAAAACAATTCAAAGACTAGCAAGAAACCTACCATTACTGGCCTCATTTGTTTTATCTCATGGTAGGTACTCCATCCATTTCTAAAATCAATTTTTTTTTTTGAGTTTAAGTTATGTACATCGTGAATATAAAAAAGAAAATTATTAATATACCCAACACATAAGCATTCTTGAAAAGTGAGAACTACAATTTTAAAAATATGACAGGATAATTGCTATAACAAATAAAGATGATCTTATATAAAGTTCTTTATATTGGTGATATAAATCATTTAATACTTTTATCAGGTCTAAATAAGGGGAAATTATGAAATTTTAATAGAGAAATTTTTATACTTATTCATTTGATAGAATAGGAATTAGTATTGAAGTGGCAAGATACGAGTGTTAAAACAAAATGTGCAACATATGCACATGAATGTTTGAAGTTAAATTAATTCAAGAATTTTTTTTCGTATTTTAATTGATCAGGTTTCTCTATTTTTCTGATGACAAATAATATTGCATGTGGCTTATAGTTACCCACCAATAAAAGAATTATAAGTTTCAATATTAACTTCTTAAAAGTTCATTGCTACCTTCATTTTATAAAACAAATTAATTTATAAAATATTAGTACTATTTTTTCTTGATGCACATTTGGATAATTTTCCCATCAAAATATCCTCACCTTCCGCTTTTACTCGTTCAGTATTTACTTGGACACCTTTAAGGAACAATAAATAGAATATCAATTTTACAATATTGCCTTTTGAATGTAATAAATTTAATATTTTGAGAAATGACTATATTTTGCAGGTTGAGCTTTGTGATGGCAATAATTTTGATAGGAACTAGCATTAGCATGAGCAAAACCCAACCACTTGGTGAAGGGTGGCTAGATGGTGAATGTTACATAGTCAATAATGGTGTCTATATTATTTCAGCTATTTTGGTATTTATAACTTTGAGCACAACACTTGGTCCCCTTATCTTCAAAATAAGAAAGAAGGACCAAGTACAAACAAGCTGGCAAAATACCTCTACAACAAGTTGAATATATAGAAGAAAAAAAAAGATACAAATGTATGAGAAATTATGAATTACAAAATGCATAGACTTACTTAGCAACAACTTTTTTCTTATTCTATTTTTATGATAGAGAATCAATGCTCTCCAACCTCCTTTAAAAAAGCTCATAAGATCCAACTTCCAAATACAAATGTGTATCTCTTTCTTTTCTCATTCCTTTTTATAATTATGATGTTCATATCGACTTACACATATCTCAACTGATTATATTATATGGAGTACACCTTATTACCTCCTACATGTCAACACCCCTCACCCTCCGTTTTGGGGCCGGGGTAAGGGGTGGGGGGATGGAAGGAGAATAAAGTGAAGACCTATGTTTTATGTGGTCCCTTTCAATCTAAGAAAAAGATTGGAAATGCACAAACTTTTTTTCTTCCTCCACACATGGTGGTGATGTGTTATAAATTGCAAATTAATACATTGAGATCATGAGATGTATAATTAATATTTCAAGGAGTCAGAAAATGCACGTGTCCAGCAGAAAAATCCTCCACCATCTAGGAGACATTTGTTAATATCACTTGTCTAAGAAAATCTTTCTAAAAAAAAACACAGCTAAATTAGGGGACCAGTTCCTCTCCAAGAATCCTGTTCGTATTCACTGAATACGCCAAATATATGTAATTATTTATACAAAAGTGTCTACTTATGTTTTTTAATACTGAAGAGAAGACCAAGTTCATTTCCTCAGTCTAATTTGAGCTAAAGAAACTAACAGACAACTTACACATCAAATCTCCTTGATCTAACGACAAGTTGTGTGTATACCAGACGAGATAACAAGTGAACTGATTGAAAAAATCAAATCTCCACTAGGGCATACATACACGATAGCAATAGTCGTGTAAAGCATGTAGAAAACCTGGCTCGCTGGACCAAAAAATAAAACATGAACCAGCCATGAATAACAATTCCTAACACACCTGCAACTGTAGTAATTGGTAGTTTGGTAACATTTGGTATTGAACTCCTCAGCAAATGTCATAAACTAGCGGGAGATTTACTCTGCCATTGCGTTGAATACTGCAGAAAATGACATAACAAGACACCATGCAGAACTCCAATGAATACGTTACATCCTCATGTGCGCTCCTCCACGGCCCCTACCGCCATAGTTATTATACCCCCTTCCCCAACCATAGCCATATGCACCACGGTGCCCACCATTTCCAGGCCCATAGCCATATGCACCACGGTGCCCACCATGTCCAGGTCCATAGCCACCAGGCCCAGGCCCATAGCCACCATTCGCATAAGGCCTTTGTTGATGGTTACCGAAAGTCTGGAGGCAATAACAAAAAAAGGAGTGACTTGTTAGTTACTGTCACTAGTGTGTATTAGTAATTGATCAAAACTCAGTGAATATTTAGTTGAGGGGTAGACGAACCTCACTATCCTGCCTCATCCTCTGAGAAAGGCGATTCTGCCCATTCCTACCTCCACGAGCAACTGTATTGCGGGATATATTATCAAAGAAGTCATCCTTATTATAGGCAGGCTGTGCAGAAATCAGGAGGAGAATTAAATGATCAAAAACTTAAAACGCTTATGGCAATCATATTATATGAGTAATACGACTCAAAGGCTGGTAAAGAGGAATATAATGCAAAATAACATGTGGATAATTCGATTATACGTGTTTAAAATGCTTGACACCTACTTTGGGATCAGCATTAGAATCCAAGCCATGATCTACTTCATTCCCCTTGTTATCATTGACCAAAGCAATATCCACGCCGTCCATCTTTTTAGCTGTTTGTTTTGCTTTTCCAAGATAACCCCACACCTCATCTTTGTTGAACTTCTCATTCATTGCAACAAAATCAAACTCTTCGGTAAACTCTGAAGATGATTGCAACTGCAAAAGTTCAACACAAAAATAAATTCATAAGCTGGTTACGAAATTGCTTCCAGAGGCAGAAACAGTTTTTGACAAAGAAGAAACAAATTTATAAAGCAAAGGTAATTTGCATTGTTACGGAAGCATCGTTCGTTTTGGAACACTTTTGGAAATGGTATGGATCTTCAAGTCCCTTAACTTATTGATAACAGAGAATCTTAAAGAAGCTATGTTTGATGCAATTCCACCCTTTAGGTATTATGCCCGAGGAATGCAGGAGCTATAGGTTAATTATTCTCGTTTAAAATGTTAGACCAGTCATTTCATAAACCCCGACCGCCTAAACCCCTTATTCGATCTCTTACATTCTTTTTATGGCCCAAAACGAATACCACGAAAGCTCTTCTCCTTCTTCATCCTTCGCTCTATATTTTCAGCTTGAATTGCCAGTGGTAAAACCTAAAAGGTATACAAAGTGAATTCTCACAACACTCTTACTTTAGTAATGCTATTTCTTCCATCGTTTCTCCATCTCATCTCTCTTTCTCTACTGAAAATGCATCCCTTCTACCATCCCCTTCCGTCAGGGGCCTTAATACGTCCTACATCAATTTGCTAGGCTTTCACCACAACATATTCATACCCACCACATGCCTATACAGACACATTATAAAAAAAAACTTTACTTGAGCTTCAGACAGGTAGTAAGCAGGAATTAGCTTTTGCATCTTAAATCCACATTGTGACAAGAAAGCTGCATCTAGATTTATTGAGTTCTAGTTCTCCATTGCTTCTAGATTTTTCTTTTTCCAGAAAACAGTAAAATAAATGTAAACCCATTGATTGTTACAAGATAACCGCAAATATGCATAATTGTGTCAATCCAATCTACTTTACCCGTAGAAGAGTACATGCAACATACTATGTCCAGATCAATATAGAACACGGATGTAAAGTTTGAATTTAAAGGCAAAGGAGGAAACAGTGATAGAATCAAACTACCAAGCACATCACACTTTGACGAGCAAGGGCATAACTTAGGATCCTAGTAGCACCCAACCTCAAATAAAAATGGAAAGCAAGCAAGCATCGGATGTACATGGTCACTTGTCGAGCAATTAAATGAATGACAAGCAGAACCAGTTCCACAGTAATTCAACCACTTTAATACTGGCATCCAATGGACTTGCCACTACAAATCATAGAATAAGGCAATTGAACTACGTAAGGGCAGAAATGGTTCTATATCAATAATTACAGTAAAAATTCAACCAGACACTGGTCAAAAAATGAAGAGCAAATAACCTTCTTTGCAGCAGGTGGCAGTGGCAACAATGGCGCTTGGACTGCTGAAGTAGTAAATGATGACGAGGGATTCTGAGGTTCTGAGCTGAGAACACCAAGGTTCTTCTGATCTAAATATAATTGCCCAGAAAAACTAGGTAGAGATAACTGATCTGGAGTTAGCAATCTGGGAGGTTGTTGTGGAAAGACACCTGATGAGGAATCTACAACTGGGGATACAGGATATAAGGGTGAAGCATTAGAACCTATTCTAGAAAAGATTGGAGCACCAGAGTTGCCCACAGTTTGACTAGATTGGGGAAATGCAGGAGTATATGCATAAGAAGGCATGGAAGAGGTTACAGATAATAAGGGAGATACAATGTTAGTACTGGGAGCCATAGGAAGTTGCTGTGGTGCAAGACTTTGTCTGCTAGTTAAAGATAAAGAATTTGCAGTGGTAACCACAGGCACTGGAGCTACGCTTTTTGGTAGAACAGCTGAAGTGAAATGTTCAGGGCCTTGGAGTGGGTAAGCCTGCTTCAAATCCTGCATCATCACATGTGAAGCAGAAGGTGGAAGAGAATGTTGTGAAGCATGGTGACTGCTAGCGGGTTCACTGTATCTTTGCTGGTAAGAGGGAGCTGCATAAGAACCCATGTTGGATTGAGTTGCCTGAGAAGCGCCATATTCAGTCTGGTTTACCGATTGATGCAAAGGTGGCACACTATTCAAGGAAGCAGGTCCCTTGTAAGAGCCATATTCTGTAAAAGATCCACCATTAAGTGACACCGATTTTGAAGAGCTTGGGGAGACTCCAGCATAGCGTGACTACAGAAATCAAAATGGCATTATATTACTGTGGAAGAAAAATAAAATCTAGCAACTACTATCAGATTTTTTGGGTACATATTATCAGCATAATCTCCCATGCAAATTTTACAATAGATAGTTTAAGGCATCATCTATTGCAAATAAAGCAGATTAAGCACCTGAATAATTGCAGGATCATTATCCAATGATTCTTCCACTTGAGGAGATGGCGAGGATTTTACTTGCAAATCCTGAAAGAGAAGATATTTTTCTTAGAATCAACCTTCAAAGGCAAAGAGAGAAAATGCTGATCTTCTGACTAAAAGGAAACCGATTACCACAAAATCAGTGAAGCACAAAATTTACGAATAAATTGATGCAATGAAGTCACTCCAATTGGTCATTGCAAGGACAACAACCAGGCAGACTTCTTGTATGTAACCTCCTTCCGTTAATTGCCCCACCACCACCCACCTTTTAGGGACAGAGAGTTATTTTAAGAATGGGAAATAATTTTTCTGAACTTATTTTTGAGAAAGGCAACAACTTGCATATATAGCAAAAGGCGGCAGTGCCGGCACTTGGGTAGTGCTGAAATGAGTAGTTACAAGCTCATATAAGAGCCAAAAGGAGACTGTCCAGAACTATAGAGCTGCACTATTACAATTTTACCTATTTTGATCTATCAAATCCCCTGTTATCCCCAAAAAGATTGTGTTTACACCAAAAGTAGAAGAGACTACGACACTTCATCCTAATTTTGTGAATGGAGCTGCTTGTATCTTCAAAAATTCTTGAGTTTTGCTCTATCCAGACTATCCAGCATATGCAAGCTGGGATCAATTGCCACTAATTCTCACCTCTATATCTTTTTCCAATCTCCTTCCAGTTACTAAGTACATCAAAAGTGGTTATGGGCATGACCCAGCTGATACCTAGGATACAAAAGAACATGTGCCACAAAATTGTAGTTATCTTGTGATAAATTAATAGGTGCATTGACTTTCAACTCAGGGTCAGGGCCAAAACACTGTTACAGAGG